TGACGTGGCGCGATTTTCGAGGTGACCCCTTCGAGTGTTGTTCGCAGGCGCAGGGCGCGGCGCGCGCTGGGCCCAGTCGCGCGCGGCGCGGTGCGTGAATCCGCCGGCCGCGCCCGTCGGCCGCCATTTTAGAATGTTTCAAACAACGCATCCGTCTTTCTTTGGCGCAAGCGGCTCCGGTTTTATATCTTCGCTGTTTTCATTTATATCAGATATATGTATATATATAATGTATTTATATATATAATGCCAATAATAATATCAATGCTAATAATATTAATAATACTAATAAGTGTACTAAATATAGAATATATATAAACAAAATAACATTCTGAATGCGCCTGCCGCGCAGGACATCTGAAGAAGTCTACAATCCGGAATTTTTCAAAATGGATTCCGGAATTGTTCAAAATCGACTGTGGAATTTTTCAAAATCGGTCCCGGGATTTTTCAAAAAGTAAGCCGTTCAAACACGTTTCCGGACTGTTTAAATATACCCCTGGAGAATTTTCCAGAGTCGCGCGTGATTTGCCTCGCCAGGTCTTTTTGGGAAATCCGCCGGGGCGCGCGGCGCGCGGCGGCGGGCGATGGGGCGGTGCGCCCCTGTGCCCCCCGCGGTCGGCAACGAAAAGGAGGATCAGCAAGTGCCAAATAGCCCCCTACGGGCGACCACTCGATTGCGAATGGGTGACCGGCGGCGCCAGGCAAAGTAGACAATGTTCGACGCAAAGTGCACCCCCCGCGAAGGCTGTTAAAAATCCCACAATCCCCGGAACGCATCAATTGCACACTGTGTCAATCGATTCTTTCCGTCCTAGGATCAGTTTGCACCGCCCAGCGTTCACTTCTGGCTCGCACGGTATATCGTAGGCGTCTTGTTTGGTACCCCATACTGTACACCGCACCGCGCCCACATCAGTGAAACAATTCATGCGTTGGGGTCCACGTGTGCTAGTGCATTCGTATATACACACCTATACTGGTGTGTGCCTATGGTTATATGTGACACACTTGTGTGTGTGCACAACCACCCACCCACTTCAGCACCCACTGAACGTCATCGTTTCGTTTGACGGTGTTCGTCTCCCCTCTCCATCTCCGTTCGCTCCTTCATGTTTTCCTCATCATCATCATCCTTTTTCCTCCGCTTCCTCATCCCCCTCTTCCTTGTTCCGATGGGGCAGAGAAGCAAAGATATTGCAAAGCGACAAAGAGCTAGAGAAAGAAGGATAGGGGGAGTAGAGGGAGCAGCGATTTTCGTGACATCACATGGGTTGCGAAGCAAAGAGGCGCCACATCGTGTGATACCACCAAAATGTTGGGGATGGTTTGAGAATTTACGAAAGCCACGTGATCTCATGTGGATGTGTGCGATGTTTGGATTTCTCGGGTTCAGGGCTCTGGAGGGTTGCAGCGTGGATTTTCGTCAGCTGATGCTGAATTCCCCAAATCCAACACAGACGGATGAACTTACATGGCTTCTGGGATGTCTATACTCGAAATCCGAGCATCCCATGTAACATCACAGGGTGTGGCTCCCCCTTGCTCCGTAAACCTTGCCATGCCACGGCAGGGGTCGTTGTTCCATCTAGTCGTTCTCTCTCTTTCTCTATCTCTCTCTCTCTCTTTCTCGTTGTCTTCCTCTCTCTCTCTGCCCCTCTGCTGACGAGGCAGAGAGGCAGAGCGAGAGAGAGAGAGAGGGATAGAACGAGAGAGGAGAGAACTTCGAGGGAACAGCTATCCCTTCGAGTAATCACATGGTTTGTGTAGTAAGGGGCTACCAAGCCCTGTGATTCATTTAGATGTGAGGATTTCAAGAACCATGCGATATCATTGTGATGCTTGTTGTGTTGCGATGCCTGGGGCTATGAGCTCTGGAGAGCTGCAGCGTGGGTATTCGTTGAGGACGTCAAGTCCCACAAGAGAAATCGCAGGCAGAGGAGCATGTAGAAAAAGGAGGACGCATGACAGTTGGAATAGGATGAGGAGGACGGGGCGGACGGAGAGGAAGAGGAGATAATATCACCTTCAACAGAAAAGAAGACGATCAGTGGGTGCTGGGGGTGGGCGCTGCGCGTATCTTTAGAGTGATGTTTTTGTGCGCTCTGACTGCTTGCGCTCTCGACCCCTCGAGGATCCTTCCCATTTGACTGCCCTCCATCTCTCCAAAAAAGAGGGCCCTTCGACCCCTCGTCACCTCGGGCGCAGCAGTTCGTCCGTGTATAGTGTCGTAGCTGTTCTTTCTTTGGTAGTGCATTCCTCCCCCCCTCTCCTCAGCCATTTTGGCTCAAGTGGCCGTTTTGGCTCAAGACGTTTTGGCGCAGAGCCAGCAGGGGCCGGCAGTAGGACTCCGACAGCTGAGGAACCGGAGCAGCCAGCAGATATGATCAACGCCCTCAAGAAGATCGTAAAGGACAAGTCTGTCGCGCCGACAGAGTTGGAGCAGGAGGTTGCCAAGGCGCTGCTGGACATCGAGGTGTCACCCTCGAGCGACATCAAGGCGGAGCTCCGTGAAGTCGTGATATCCGCCGCCAAGGAGGTGGAGGTGAAGAACGGCAGGAGGGCCGTGATCGTGTACTTTCCGTACCGGGTCTGGCAGGCGGTGCGCAAGATCCAGGGCCGCCTCGTCCGCGAGCTGGAGAAGAAGTTCCAGAAGAAGCAGGTCGTCTTCGTGGCCAACCGGACAATCCTTGACCTGAATTTCCGCCGCAGGGGCCTGAAGGTGAGGCCGAGGAGCCGAACGCTCACCGCGGTGCACGACTCCATACTCGAGGACATCGTTGGCCCCACCGAGATCGTCGGCAGGCGCACGCGCATCACAGCGGACGGCACGAAGTTGATGAAGGTCTTCCTGGACCCTAAGGACAAAGACAAGTCGGAGGTCGACACGAAGCTCGCGACCTTCTCCGCGGTCTACAAGAAGCTGACCAACAAGGAGGCTGTCTTCCTGTTCCCCGAGGCGTAGGCGAGGGCGCCCATTGGCGGACGCGGCCTGGCTCGGTGGCAGCGCAGAGTAATCGGCTCATCCGCCCTGGTGAGGCCTCGGGTTGCGCACAGACACCCCCCCCAGGTAGTCTCAGCTGGCCTCAACAGCCCTCCCGAGTAGTCCAGAACCCGGCGCGGAGCGTCCCAGGGGCGCCGCCAGAGGCGGCGCCGGGATGATGAGACCACCCCAGACTACGTGGGGAGCCCGCTGAGGTTAGCTGGGACTACTCGGGGAGCCTGTTGAGGCCAGCCGGGACTACCTGGGGGGGACTGCCTCTGTGCGCAACCCGAGGCCTTACCAATCCACCTCCTCCCCCTTCCCTCCGTCCTTCAGCCTCCCCTCCTCCGGCCTCTTGTTCGATGGGGCCCGCCAGGTCTCCCAGCAAGCCCTGCTTTGAGAGGAGGAAGGCCACAGAGGGGGAAGGGGAGTGCTCAGGTGCAGGCGGGCTGGGTCCTAGGCCTCCCAGATGGACTCTCGGCATCCCACATGGGGAACGCCAGGCGGGAGGGAGGCGCCTCTGCGGGGGGGAGGTTTTCTTGGAAGGCCCCCGCGGGTTTCTGACGAGCCAAGGCCAGAACCTTGGGCCCCTCCCCCTCCAAGAAGCGCCCCGGCATCAGATGCAGCGATGGCCTGGGCCTCCCAGATGGGGTCTTAGTAGATGGGGTCGGATGATCGCGCCGGGTCGTCGACGCATCGGCGATGCGGCTGGATGTGGAGCCAGAGCTTATCCACGCCGATGGCGCCGATGCGATGCGGCGCGATCCCCAGACTCGGGGGTGACAGAACCCCCAACAGTGACACGTCGATTAGTGAATTGTCCGTTTTCGGTTCTCGAGAGGGCGCCGTGGCCGTTATTTTCCAGGCTTGCGCCCGCCATGTTTGGGCCTCGGGTCGTTGTCACTAAACCACGTTTTACTAAAGGGGGGTCTGTCCATCCCCGAATGGCGCCGATGCGATGCGGCGCGATCCCCAGACCCCATCTATCGGGGGAGCGTAAGACCCGGGTTTGCCGGGACTCGGGTTCGCCATCGTTTTTTGACGACCGCGCCTCGGGTTTTGACGAGGAGGAGTTTCGCGGGATGTCTGCAGCGGGAGGCCTCGTCAAAATGCAGGCTCGGCCTCGTCATTTTTTTGACGACCTCGTCGGGGATTTCCGAGTCCCCCGTACCCGGGTCTTACGTCTCCCCGAATCTACTCCGACCCCACCTGGGAGGCCTCCGTGGATGCCCTCGACTGCTCCCCCCTCGGGGCTGTGGGGCCCTGTGACGGTGGGCCCCTCCATGTGCGGAGCACTCCGTGTCCTCCTCCTCCTCCTCCTCCTCCTCCTCCTCCTCCTCCTCCTCCTCCTCCTCCTCCTCCTCCTCCTCCTCCTCCTCCCCACTCCTCCTTCTCTTCCTTCTCCTCCTTCTCCCCCTCCTCCTCTTCCTCCTCCTCCTCCTCCTCCTCCTCCTCCTCCTCCCCCTCGTCCTCCTTCTTCTCCGCCTCCTCCTCCTCTTCCTTCTTCTCCTCCTCCTCCTCGTTTTGGGCCATGTTCGGCCGGCCCCTGGGGGCCCTCGCTTGGATTCGGGGCCGTCCAGCGACGTGACAAAAATCAGGAGGGGAGGCGTTGGATCATTTTCGGCCCCTGGGGGGTCCCCACTGGGCCTCGGGACCGCTAAAAAGCGACTCCAGAGGAAAGCCGGCCCTGGGCCAAGGGTCGGGATTTCCAGGGACCACGTGTTGAAACAATCAGGACACCTCATGTCTGGGTTGTGGGACCCTCCCCTCCCTCCTCCCTCGCGGCCGCTTTCGCCTGTCTTTCCCTCCAGCCGCCTCTTAGTTTGCGCTCTCCGTTGCCCGGACCGCCTGAGCGCGCGTGCGGACAGCCGCTGCCGCGCTGCGATGTAAAACGTCTGGGTTGTGGGCCCCGCCAGGTTGGGTGGAGGAGGAGGAGGAGGAGGAGGAGGAGGAGGAGGAGGGAGGAGGAGGATGGAGGAGAGGAGGAGGGAGGAGGGAGCAGATGAGACAGACGCAGACGGAGGGACGGGCGAGCTCGAGCGGAGGGGCCCCTCGGCGCTGGACGAGGAGTGCTGGTACCAGGTGCTGGGCAGGCCGGTGGTGATCCGCGAGCAGGCGGACGAGATCTTCCCCTCCTCGTCCTCCTTCTCCTCCTCCTCCTCCCCCTCCTCCTCCTCCCCCTCCTCCTCCTCCTCCTCCTCCTCCTCCTCCTCCGCGAGCAGGCGGACGAGAAGGCCAAGATGGTGGGCCGCAGGACTCTCCTCGCGACCACGCGTAAGTCGGGCTGGTCCCTCTGCAGGGGGGGAAATATTCAAAAATGACCATAAACAGAAAAGTAGAGGGGAGGATCGTTTGACGATGTTTGAGCATGCTGTGTGCATGTTGGGGGTATCTCTTGTTTTTCGTCCCAAATCCGTTTGTAGGGGGGCATGCCCGACCTAAGGCTACACGTAAGAGTGACCCTTCGACGGAGTGGCCGTTGGTGCGGGCCCACCCGCGCCCCCCGATGGCTCAGCGCGATGCGACAGCAACGGCTTTCGCGCCTGGCGGCGTCCCCAGAGGGCCCCCCCCCTGGCCGCGCACTGAAGGTCACTCTTGCCGTATGATGTTCCCACCCAGGCCTCCTAGATGGGGTCCAAGTAGATGGGATCGGAGGGTCGCGCCGCATCGTCGATCTATCGACGATGCGGCTCGATGTGGAGACCGTGTTTCCCCACGGCCTCCCTCCAACAGTCGGCGCGTTGACGAGCGGCCCCCCCGGAGTCTCCCCACGGCCTCCCTCCAAGACAGGAGGTCGTCTGTCAGGGGGGGGAAAAACACACAGACACAATTAGTCGTCGATCCCCCAGAAAAATTGGAAAACCCAGAGAAAATATGGGAAAATATGGGAATCCTTTTATTCGTGTCTATTTATTTGCGTGTCCCAGGTTCCCTTCAGTCTGGGGTGCGGAGGAAGAGGGGGGAGGACCTTGGTGCCCTTGCGGCCTGCGCGAGCACGGGGAGGAGCCCGAGTGCCGAGCGCTGCAGCTTGTTTCACAGCGGGCGCGTTCGCCCAGTTTCGGGCGCTGGGGCCTTCTCGGATCGATCCGGCTCGAGGAGCATAATCCGGAAGTCGGGGCCTGGGGCTCTGGTCGTGGGTTCGAATCGGTGCTCTTCCTGTGGTCGCGACGTCGGATCTCGGCGGGGGGGAGCAGCAGGAGGAAGAGGGGGAGGAGCAGGAGGAGGACAAGGGTGGAGAGAATCGAGGAGGAGGAGGAGGAGGAGGAGGGGGAGAGAGAAAAAGAGAGAGAGAGAGAGAGACAGACAGACAGACAGACAGACAGACAAACAGACAGATAGACAGAGACAGACACACAGACACACAGACAGAGACAGACAGACAGATAGACAGAGAGACAGACAGATAGACTGACAGAAAGAGAAAGGTGGGGAAGGCAAACTACTACAGGTGCGCCCGCTCCATATCTGACATCCGTCCCTTCCCACCCATCCCTTCTTATCGTGTTGTTTCATGTTATATCCGTCAACGTTGGTGTCCTAAAGGGCCTTGATCCCCAAGTTGAACCCATCTTGTGATGCGCAATCGGAAAGGGGGTGCTTTTCATTGGAGGGGGAGGAGGAGGAGGAGGAGGAGGAGGAGGAGGAGGAGGAGACGGATGAGCGAGCAGGAGGAAGCGGAGGATGACGATGGAAGAGGAGGATGAGCGGGAAAAGCGCGACAGACAAGATGGCCAGGGGAAGTTGGAGGAAGGGAATGGAGGTGGTCGGCAGTGACGAGGAAGGAGTCAGACCGGAAGTGAGGCCCATGCTCGGGCGAGAGCGCCACTCTGAGCGACTGGAGCGAAATGTTGCAAAAGCTGCAGCGGGAGTATCACTTCTGAAAGGCCGATCATGTTCTGATGGTTCAAACTATGAATGCACGTGTGCAGATGTATATATATATATATAAATATGGAAGTACGCCGTATATATATATGTATATATATATATCCTTATACACACGAGACATGTTCATATGTATGTATCTATATATACACCGAAAAACAGCCCGGGAAAATCATGTGTGTAGGAAAAATTGGATGCGTGGTGTGCAGGAGAAACAAAGACGGCATCAGTGGAGAGCGGAGCGCAGAGCTCACATGGCGCAGTTTCGCGGGGAGGGCCCCTCCTCGTCCTCTGTCCCCGTCCCCCGCCCTGCGCCTTTCTGCCCCCGTCTCCGCCTCGCCTCTACCTATGCCTCTCCTGCACCCCCCCCCCTGCCAGGGCCCACCTCGATCCGCTCACAACGATTGTATACCGATTCCAGCAGGCTCGATCCGATTCGGCTTCGATATCCCGGCGGTCCGATGCGGCCCCGTGCTCGCACGGCGTTATCACCTTGGCGCGGCCAGTCCGATTAGGCTCTGGCGCCGTGCCGGCGCGGACAGATGCCACGCAGGTTCCAATCTTACCAGATTTCGCGACTCGATGTTGGATGCCCCTGTCAATTGTTGATTCCATAAGGCGCGCCAAACAAGACATTGGCCTGCCAGAATGGTGCCGCCTAGACGTAAATCATCCCTAGATGTCCTTGGGGGCCCGAGGAAGACTAGAATAACTAGGACGAGCAGCGGTTGCGAATGAGGACGAAAGGGTGCAGCGAGGACGGGAGGACGAACCCCGACGAGATTTATCTACAGCGTGGACCCCTGGAGAACTGGACCCTTTCGCTGGGACTGGCTTCGCACCCTCAGTCGTTTGTTTGACGGCCCTGGGGCCTGGCAGGGACCCCCAGAGGCCGAAGAGTGCGAAACATTTTCCCAGCGTGAGTTTGTCTTCACCATTACCCGAAGAGGTAAAAACGGACATGCTCGAACAGTAATAAGAACCGTAGTAATCGTAACAGTCGTAATACTTGTAATAGTAATGATCGTAATAATGATAAGACTATCGATAACAATAATAATATTACGACTGATACTGATATTAATGATAATAATGCGAATGCGAAAAAGAGTAATAACCATGTTTTACTTATATATGAATGCGAACCATAGTACTAAAGAAAATAGTAAACAATAGATATGCAATGAACATCACCATCATCATCAGACTAATGAACATGAGCGCATATTCGGAGCTCCGCGCGGATGTCTTGTGATCGTCGCCGGAGCCGCCGCCAGGGGGGCCAGCGCTGACCCCAAGAACTCCGCGTGGAGCTCCGAAAAGGTACGTTGATAGGTCGTTTCTTTATCTAGAGGCGCACGCGGTGCCAGTTGGGGATACGCCCCTTGAAGCTCGACGGGAACAGCATACATCCCCATCCAGAGGGTAAATCTGCCAGTGGAGCCCGGGTCGCGCCAGTGGGGATAGGCATCGGCTGAGCGATGCTCCAGCCCTTGCCCCGGCGTGGCCGTCGTCGTCAACGACCTCATCGAGAGGCGCACACGGTGCCACATTTGATTGGTGGAGGACGAACACTGGAGAGAGGAAGCATGTTGCCAAATACTTTCCGGATGTCTACAACATGTGTAAAAAATGCTGCTGAAGCATGTAAAAACATGTTTAGAACACGTTCAGAACGTGCTTCCGACATCTTACACATATTTGAAGTTCAATGATAGGACTGTTCGGGTGTCCATTTGTCGTGGCATCCGCAACACTTGACCTCGCCCTGCCCGGCCCCCCTGCCCGAGAGGAAGCCGAGCAAGCGGCTGCGGGTGCAGCGCGTCGTGGGCGGCAGGTGGCTCCAGCTCCACCCCGCCGAGCTGGAGAAGCTCGGCGCGCCGGAGGCGCCCACGGTGGAGGGTCCACGTCCTCTTTCGTGGTCCTCCCCCATTTGTCCTCCTCCTCCTCCTCCTCCTCCTCGTTCGTCGTCGTCCTCCTTCGTCCTGCTTCGTAGCCCTCTTCCTCCTCCTCCTCGGTCCTCTTCCTCCTCCTCCTCCGTCCTCCTCATCCGCCTCTCTCCTCCTCCTCCTCCTCCTCCTCCTCCTCCTCCTCCTCCTCCTCCTCCTCCTCCTCCTCCTCCTCCTCCTCCTCCTCCTCCTCCTCCTCCTCCTCCTCCCGTTTTGGGCTCCTGGTCAGGCAGAGAATGCATGGATAGTGGAAAGGGCAGCCTACCGAATTGCTTGCAGCAGAGGTATATACTCTTCATGGATTCCGGGATGCCGTTCACCATCCTATAGCGCCGTGGCAATTTGATGACGATTTGCAGCTGCCTCCCCCCTCTGAGTAAGTCTTGAAAGCAGCAGTAAAGACTTCCAGCCGTCGGACTTCGTCCACGTATGATGGAATGCACGCCAAGCGCTACGGTCTGACTGGTGATGGCGAAATCCGGGCACGATTTCTAACGTGTGTCGAGGCGGGCGCACACGAATTCCCCCACGCCAATGCAAGCGATGCATGCAAGTATGAACTATGAGCCTCAAGGTGACCAACGATAAGGGCCCTGAAGTGCGGGTTGCTTTTCGGGGAATGCATGTGGGAGCGTCGATGTATCGAGTTAGGGGAAACGTTTGACAGAATTCTGCTCGCGAGTGAAAGAGGGCGAACCCTTTGGAGAATACAGCGCACCAAAAGGTCTTGGAACTGGTTTATATACAGCCATGGACTTCGGAGAGTGTGACTCACGTAAAACGGCCGCAGCACACCGTCAACGCCATGTACGATATGGAAACTGGTAAGAGCACATCAATCGAGACCTGACTTGGGCGAGGGCTCGTAATACCAGGCCTCCTACGACAGTGCTGGCTGTAAATTCCAAAATGTACCAACCACATAGATTCATTCGGATGGATGGCGTAACTATGGCAGGTAAGTGCTCGCATGAATGGCATTGCGGCTGGATGTACATTCGCAATGTTGATGGTACAGGTCAACTCCATGTAACATTTGGCAAAGTTGTCCAAGGCCCTGTCCAAGATAGGACTAACCGAGCACCCTCATTGGCAGCTGTATGGCGCAGGCCAAGCACACAGAGGAAAGCATTATTGTGGAACAGGCTGTACTCGGTGTTGCTGAGCTGCGAAGGGTAGTCAAGCATGAGCTACTGCGTAAGGTCGCTGCTAAGAAAGCTGCGACTGTGCAATATTTTTCCCGTCGTTCCATCTGGCTTTCCCGCTGCAGTGTGGGCCTCGTTTCGGGATCGGGAAGGGGGGGGCATATGGTGTACCTCCGTTGGCTACGGCAGCCTCATGGTGCCAACCATTGGCTGGCTCTTGAAAGGCCTATGGTGCCCTTCAGTGCCCACCGCGTCCCGCCCACGGAGACTTCCCCCCCCCCTCCCCCCCCCACGGTGGGGAGGTTGGGTGACGGGTCGCCCCCCCGTGGCGGCGCGTGGATTGCGCCAAGGGAGGCGGGGGGGTTTGAAAACATGTGACCCCTCCCTCCCCATCCCTCCCACGTGGTTCCAATCCATCCCACGTGGTTCCAATCCCTCCCACGTGGTTCCAATGTCCCTAGACCCCAGTCATAGTTCTATTCGTGCTGGTATGCTCCGTGCCCCCGTGGTGTGTTGCTGCCCCGTGGTGCTGTCAACACGCGCACCGCTGCGCGCGTCCGTGCTGCACAGTTCCGCGCTGCTGGCCCCAGTCGTGCTGGAAACCATGGTAACTGGCGACGGTGGCTCCAACACGAGATGTTGTCGCACCCGCACTGCTCAACGACGTAGTGTTGGCCCAAGTCGTGCTGGTCACTGTGGTCACAGTTCTCCTGGCCGCCGTGGTGCTGTTGATACCTTTGGGCCCAGTGAGTTACACGGAATGGACCCCCTCCCATCCGACCCCGCCCCACATGGTCGCCGGTGGGCGCCCTACGGTGGCCTCCAGCGCGGTCGGGTGACATCGCCCCATGGTGGCTGATGCTCCCAGCCTCGCTGCCGAGCCCTATGGTTCGGGCCCCGACTCCTCCCATCCCTCCCAAGGGGATTCCGCGCAAGAAGAGCGGGGGAGGTCCACGGGCGGGAAGTCACACCGCAGCTGCTGCCCCCTCGCGGCGCCACGCCCCCGTCGACAACCTCGCGCCTATGCTTCGAAAGGCATCACGAATACCTCGGATGCACCGCCCCCCCCACCGTGGCTCCAAGCCCCCCCTTGTGCACAGAGCCCCCAACCCCCAAAACTGTTGTATTGCATCCCGACTGCTCACCGACGCGGCGTTGCTTGTCCCAGTCGTGGTGGTAAGACGCGCGTTGCTGCTCGCAACCGTACTGCTCACCGAGGTCACGCTGGTAGCATCCATGCAGCTGCTCGCACTCGCACTTGTCTTCGAGGTACTGCAACCCTCCCGCCCCCTCCCAATCTCCATGAATTCACTGAAGTCGATGCGGGGGCACTGGACGGCAGGCAGGGAATGCAAGTCCCGGTAACGGCCCATGTTGGAGAGAGGTTGAAGTATGAAAATGAGAAGTTCAATGGATGTTGCATGGCAGCGTATAGGGTGGAGGACATATGGTGTACCTCCGGTTGCGGTAGGCCTATGGTGCACACCTTTCGTGTCTGAAAGACTTATGGTGCCCTTCGGTACCCAGCCCGTCCCGTCCTCAGGGACGTCGCACCCCTCCCCATGGTGGAAACACTGGCGGACTGGCCGTCCCCCCCCCCCTTGGCGTCGAACGTACTACGCCAGGAGTTCTTTTTCAGTTCCCCCCCTCATTTCCCCTCCGCCTTTCATTGTTGCCGCCCCCCCTCATTTCCCCTCCGCTTTCCCCTGGTCCTCCTCCTCCGCCCACTTCTTCACTCCAGTTCCTCCTGTTGCTGCTGTTCGCCGTCTCTCTTTCCTCGTCTTCCGTCTCTTACTGATCATCCGTTTGCTCACCCACCACCTCCTACTTACACGGTTTCCCTTGTCCGATTGCCAATGACACAATGCGGTCTCTGGGGGACTTCCAGGTCGGCTATGACAAGCGACCGAGGATGGAGAAGAAACTGTTGCAATGGGAATGGATGGGGATGGGCAGGATGGTAGATATGGCGCGAGCGCGCCTAGCTTGCCTCCGCCTCCTCTCCTCCCTCCTCGGTCGTCGTCCTTCTCCCTCCGTCGACATCCCCTCCTCCCTTGCGCAGAGCTCCCAGAGCTCCCAGAGCCCTCTCCCCTCCCCCTCCCCCCCCTCCGCGCTGGAAAGGCTTCCCGCCACAATTTCAAGGCGATTCGATCCAACGGGCCTGCGTTCGGAGCGGAATCCTTTGGGGGGCGGGGCTCCTGACCGCGTCGTCGTCCTTCTCCTCGTTCTGCGTTCTCCAGCTCCTCCTCCTCCTGCTCCTGCTGCTCCTCCTCGTCCTCCTCCTCCTCCTGCTCCTCCTCCTCCTCCTGTTCCTCCTGTTCCTCCTCCTCGTCCTCCTCCTCCTCCCCCTCATCCTCCTCCTCCTCCTCCTCCTTCTCATCCTCCTGCTCCTCCTCCTCATCCCTCTGCTCCTCCTGCTCCTCCCTCTGCTGCTCCTCCGCCTTCTCCTCCTTCTGCTCCTCCTCCTCCTCCTCCTTCTCTCCCCCCTCCTCCTCCCCCTCCTCCTCCTCCTCCTCCTCCTCCTCCTCCTCCTCCTCCTCCTCCTCCTCCTCCTTCCGTTTCCTCCCTCCTGCTCCTCCTCCTCCTCATCTTTCTCCTCTTCCCTCTGCTCCTCCTCCTCCTCCTCCGCCTCCTCCTCCTCCTCTCTCCTCCTCCTCCTCCTCCTCCTCCTCCCCTTCCTCCCTCCTCCTCCTCTCCTCCTCATCTTTCCCTTCCCCTCTGCTCCTCCTCCTCCTCCTCCTCCTCCTCCGCCTCCTCCTCCTCCTCCTCCTCCTCCTCCTCCTCCTCCTCCTCCTCCTTCTGCTCCTCCTCCTCCTTCTTCTCCTCCTGCTCCTGCACTTGCTCATGCTCCTGCTCCTTCTCCGCCTGCTGCTTCTCCTCAGCCTCCTGCTCCTCCCCTTGTGGGGGGGAACGGGGGGGGGTAGGGGGCAGTCGCCACGGCTGGGCGCGGCTCGGAAGACGGGGCCAGGATGGCGCACACAGCGGGTGCGGGCTGGGGGGGGTGAGGATGACGACGGTGACAGTGACGATGACGGTGACGGTGACGGTAACGTTGATGATGATGATGATGATGATGATGATGATGATGATGATGATGATGATGATGATGATGATGATGCTGATGATGATGATGATGATGATGATGATGATGATGATGGTGAGGATGGTGATGATGATGGTGATGGTGATGGTGATGATGATGATGATGGTGGTGGTGGTTGTGGTGAGGAGAAGGAGGAGGAGGAGGATGATGTTGATGATGATGTTGATGTTGATGATGATGATAATGATGGTGATGATGGTAATAGTGATGGTGCTGTTGATGTTGCTGATGATGGTGATGACGATGGCGATGGTGTTGATGGTGGTGGTGGTGGTGATGCTGATGACGTTGCTGGTGGTGATGCTGCTGGTGATGATGACGATGATGATGTTGATGCTGATCATGCTGATGATGATGATGCTGTTTATGGTGCTGATGCTGATGATGGTGCCGATGATGACGATGCTGATGGTGATGATGATGCTGACGGTGATGGTGATGATGCTGCTGATGCTGCTGATGATAATGCTGGTGCTGATGGTGGTGCTTATTGTTTAGTAGCATTGTATCTTAAGGAAACTAATACTAAATGCAGTTGTCATAATGTCATTCAACGTACTACTCATCGTCATAATCCCTAGTTTGATTATGATTATGATTAGTCGTATTATCATAATGTTGATGTTGATGGCGGTGATGCTGATGATGGTGATGATGGTGTTGAGTATGACGACGATGACGACCACGAT